TACTTCACAAAACCTTTCATTTATTTAAAACTCATCGTGATTCTTGACGCGCAACGAACTGCCTTGGGCACCCCCGTGCCACGTGATGATTAATGAACGGGCGCGCGCACGCCACCGCGACAACGCACCGACGAGGAAAGCGCTTTTTCTCCTTCACTCTTTGCACACATTTAACGCCACCAGCAGCGAAAGACGCATTGTGATAGGAGGCTCACCGCTTCGACTATTCATTCCAGTGTCTCGTCGAATCAACAAGTCATTTGCAGGCATCACTAACAGCTCTGTACACACTGTTCAGGCGAGTAGCAAGCTCTTTATGCGACACGAACTTTGTAAAGGAAGGATTATAAACACAAAAGGACTCCTCTGTATAACAGCAGGATTATATACCAGGTTCCCTAACAATTTCTTGGCGATATGATTGAAATGTCTTTTTCAGTGCTGGTCTCCTAGTAATAGATAATCTTCCTCGATTTTTACGAATTGTGATGCATTACAACTCTAAAGTATTTAGTCATTACGTTAATAGTCTTTTCAAACTGTATGAAATAGAATAAAAATATACTACCGAGCATAAATTCAATATTTAATGTCAAATTAGGAATTATACATAACTAAGATATTGTTAGAGAATTAACAGAGAAATTAGAGACAAACGACAAAAAGTAAGCACGAAAGCATCCCTTTACGTGTTATTTTATTTGTTTCAACAACAAAATGATTTTATAGCTTTAAAATATACATAACAATTGAAAGTTTCGAATTGAAATCTTCAATATCTATTCATCATTGCTTAATACAGAAAATGACATGTTTAATGTCCTCATTGGATTACACTTTATCTTTAAATACACAACTTTAATGAAATATTATTACTGTTACTTTTACAAAATATAAGAAAACGATGACATGTACTCTGCTAACATGGGTTTCCTTGGAAGGAGAGCGTAGTTTTCGCTTGGCCGAATCATAGAAGGAAAATACTTATTTTGAAACTAGTCACAGGCTTACTGCGTCCTCTTCGTTTTATACATTAGTTTGAAAGCATAGTAAAAGAAATACATAAAATAAATTCACTTATTTTTCAACAAGCTTACGTCCACAAGATCGTCCCGATAAGTTTATCATCGAAAACCATTTCCGTACGAGAATCGCCACATTCAAATTTTTCTACATCAAGCGCGATGGCAACCTCGTTTGAAATCCGTGTCGCTGAGGGCGGATGCGCGCCCGCAGATAGCAGCGGCAGCGGCACAATAGGAAGCACACTCGTACGGTGATTTTCCACTTGAGAACGCCCCCTCGCGAGTCCGCCGCAACCGTAACACCCACAATATAACGAGCGCGGGGCAGGCGGAGGGCGCGACCGCGGCGGCCGACCGTTGGCGACGCGGGGGCGGGGGCGGTCACCAAGGCGTGCATCCGCGGGCGCCGCAGTCACCCGCGCCGCTTCCGCTGCTCTCAACGGTCCTTCGGAAGGAAGCGCGAGGAGCGACTTGCTGCTTTGCAGCCGACGTCCTGCCAGCGTCCAGCGGCTCCAACGCAAGGATTGGGACGGGACTACGGTGGCCTACGTGTCACTCGTCTTTCACTAGACTAGAGTTGGTCGCATCCCCTCGCAGCGGACCACGGCACGCCGAGTGAGACGCCCATTCGAGCAGCCCTAACTGCCAACTTCTTTATGGCTCTTATAAGATTAAGATTAAGGAAAACTACATTAGGTTCATATATTGTGTTTATGCGTGCATGCGCAGTGTGTTTCTCTCGTGATAATTTTGTATCTAATATCCAGTCGTATGTGTTTCCAAGGAAGTAGATTATTTCGCTTTAATGGACAAGTTATGCGTTAAAATATTTGTACATTGTAAAAGTGGTTGCTGAAAATATGAGAGCTATTTCATGTAATTATTATATATAGTTTCTAAATTCTAACCTATTGGACATAATTATTTTTAATGTCCGTTAATTTTAAGGGACACAAAATAAATGCTAATTCCACCCAAAGGAATTAAAGCTACACTGAAATAATACAATCAAATCTCGAAATTCATAAAAAGTCATATAATAATGAAATGTCACTAAACTTTGATAAAAAAAACAAACAAATAAGTTAATTGTTCTAGCATTTCATTTTTGTGAAAGCAACATTTTGAAAAAAACGTTATTTCTTCAAAGAATCAGCACCCTTTATGTCTATCGCATCTATCTGTTCACGTCGATGAAGTTATAACGTTCAGTTAATTTCACTAGAATTTTTATTCTTAGCGTATTCAAACTTCGCGGTCGAAAGGGTAAAGAATTCACCAGCGCAGAGAAGTAGAATTTTACAATTTCGCCACGCGTGTAAATGAGGCGACATCGCGCTCGGCTGGCAGCTCCAGGGCAGCCGTGATTAACGGAGGGGCGCACTTTTGCAAATGAGCGCTTCCAGGAAGGTCCCTCCCCCTCCCCCTTCCTGCTTCGCAGAACAGAAGACGGCGGCCGTCGCACAGAGCTGCGCAGCGAATGGCGTCTGCCGAAGAGACAAACCGCAGCGGCGCGCTGGCCGCTCGACAGCCGAGCATGAAGCGGTCAGCGACAGGATTTTCTCGGCGGCGCGTCCGGGCTTTGCAATTCAAGACGGGCGTAATGCACTTGCAACCGGTTGGCGCGCCGGTTGATCCGACGACAACCCGACAGCTCCGGGCGCAGCTCTTTACAAGCAAACGGAAATTGCCGCTTAACACCAAGTTGGCGTCTTTCTCCGGGGCCCGATGTGCCCGTGTTTTAAGAAGGAAACACTTAATTCACGATGTTTCAGGACATTTTAGAACGGCACTTTTGCACAGAAAGGGTTTCATTCCTTTAACATTTCAATGCATCGTGGAGAGAAGTGATACACTAATGAACGACTATAGAGAAAATTCAGCTTGCCAAGTATCAGAATATTGGTAACTGGTCAGAGGAAGAAAATCAAGCCATTTTTCTTAGACTGACGAATGAAATGTTTTCAATTAAAATACCTATCAGACAAAAAATTCCTCATCCTAATATGACGAGAGAATGACGCAACCATTTCGACTGTCGTTGAGGGCGGTTTGAGAGGCAATTTGCGTAGTGGCCTGAGAGTCACTCGAGACTTAAAAACTTTTAATTATTTATTCAATAGGTTTACAGTTTATTACAATACATTTTCCTATAATCATTTGAGGTACGTTATATTTTTCTTTTGTTACATTATTTTAATTAATTTCTTTCAATTCGTTTTATTTTTACAATCTTCTGAGTACAAATTTTTACTTTCAATATACATGTTATTTTCGGTCTACCTCTTTTTCTTTTACCAATAGGCATCCAATTTAATAATTTCAGCGGAAGCCGTGTTTCTTCCAACCTTTGGGCATGACCTTACGATTGAAGCTGTTTCAATTGTATAAAATCTAGTAATGTGTAATTAATTTTCATGGATTTTTGTATTGTAACATTTTCGAGTTTGCCTAATTTAAAACTTAAGACCGTTGAAATGAATATTCGTTTGGTTCTGTCGCTGCTACGAGCGAAAACCGCGCGCGACGCAAGGTGGGTCGGGGCGCGTGCAGGCGACCGCCGCGCGGCGCGAAGGTCTTCTATTTGGGCGGGGAGGGGTGGTCGCGCCCTCCGTGAGCATTCGGCGGGAGGCTGGCAGGGGGAACGGCCGACCTACCTCCGCGCGACGCAAACGCGCACAAGGGTGGCGTCTCCGGGCCAAACGGCTGGACGATCGGGCGAGGTGGGGCGAGGCGGGCGCGAGGCACGGCGCGAGGCGGCGCGAGGCGGCGCGCGCAGCGGGGCGAGGCGGGGCGAGGCGGGCGAGGCGGGGCGGAGGTGGGGCCGAGGTGGGGCGAGGTGGGCGAGTGAGCGATTGGGGCGAAGGTGGGGCGAGGTGGGGCCGAGGTGTGGCGAGGTGGCGCGAGGTGGGGCGAGGTGGTGCGAGGTGGGGCGAGGTGGGGGCGAAGTGGGTGCGAAGTGGGGCGAGTGGGGCGGAGGCGAGGCGAAACGAAGCCGGTGGCGAAATCGGGGCGAGGGCATGGCGAGACAGGCGAAGCAGGGCGAGGTGAGAGGGCGAGACGGAGGCGGGGCGACAGACGGACGGGGCGGAGCCGGGGCCAAAGCGGCGAGGTAAGGACGAGACTTGGGCGAGGCGGGCTCGAGGCGGGGCGGGGCGGGGCGGGCAAAACGGGATGAGGCCGGACCCGGAGAGGGGCGGAGGTGGGCGCAGGGGGGCGGCGGGACCAGACGGAGCGAAGCGGGACGATGCGGGTCAAAGCGGGGCGAGGCAAAAAAAGTGGTGAATAGGAGGAGAAGAGGGGGGTGCAAAGCAGCGAAAATCGCTTCGTGGCGGAGAATACAGGTTGAGGCTAAGCACGATGAGTAGGGAGGTCTACACCGCATCTGGCAGGTCAGGTGGAGCTGGACACGACTGGCCAGATCAGGACGAGTCGGGTTTTGGCGACGTAGAGCAGTGAAGAGTGATAGCGCGAGAGAGAGAGGGTAGAGAGGTGGAGTAGAAAAGGGACGGGACGGGAAGGCGGCGAGCGAGGCAGATAAATGGATTAATTTTGTAAAAAATCAATTTCATGAAATGGACTTGTCCGTGCATACAGAAGCTTATCGGATTCATTAAAGGTAGACTAAATCAATAATCCATGTTATTATCAAGAAAGAATGTTTACAAACAATTCTATATTAGGCATTTCAAAAAAGTGTTGTATAAAAACTTAGGCATATGCCTAAAATTCTCTAGAATTTTTGGTCGTTAAATTAAGACACAAATGGTACGTGTCGTACTATGCAATGTATTAAAACAGTTCAGTACTGTATACAAGCAACCACACACTATTCTTTTCAAAATCACGGACGGTATAATCGTAGAAAGCTAATTTTTCTCGAGTACAAATGACCAATACTTTTCAAATATAAGGTAGAATCTGCGGCCATGAAAAACGATATTCGTCGAGTAAACATTTCTGCAGCCAACTCACCTTACGCGGGAATCGAACAGACTTCATGGGGCTGGCGGCGTAAAAATCCTGCTCCTCCAGGTTGTAATCTCCGTACAACGCGTCCAGATCCATGGCCGGCACTGCAACAGGTACAAACAACAGTTAATAATCAACCATCATATCACAAAACAAAACAAATTAATTTTTAAAATGTCAACATAAAAGACATTTTGAAAATGAATTTTCAATAGCTCACACACACACACACACACACACACACACACACAATGTTTTTTTTGTTTGTTTTTACTTTATGAATTTGCTTAGAATGAAACTATATATTATATAAAGATTTGTTGCGGATAGTTAAAAATAAAACCAAAACAACCTGACGTTATTTTGTTCATCATAATTCTACAATGCCATTGAATTCTCAGCTAAACATATTAAAATCTGGAAAATATTTTTAAAGAAATGGAGTGACATGCAAAAGAATCGAAATACACAGTAATTTAAGAACCAGACGACATTGTAGTGACAGCCAGGTAAAACTAGCAGACCCTTTACGACAGACTGGAGTTCCAGACCGCAAACGCGTAAAAAGGAGAAGAAAAGTGCACTACGAGATGCTTGCAGGGAAGACTGTTCACTTCGCACTTTTTCCTTTCCTTGCAAGGACACCTCGGCCACCGTCTTCTTTTTACTGTCGCGGAGCCGGGTCACACCGCAAAATGCGCGACGAACCCTGGCTCGTCCGAAAACCCTTCACCGCATCAGGAGATAATGTGTTTCCTTCGACTCCTCGGTTCCTTGTTTCTGTCGCGGTTTTTTGTTGTAAACGTTTTTGAAGTCGAAGGATACTGTCTGGTGCAGAAAATGTACTCTATTGTGTACGGAAAGCCCAGCTGAAAAGGATGACGTCAGAGCACAAAAAAATGCCTACAGAAACTCTTGGAAGGTCGAGGAGCGGGCAGTATTCTAAGAGCCCTTTCTCTAAATGGTTTCGCAGAATGAAATATTGGCAGAATCAGCTTTCCGCATAGGCCATTCATTGATAACTTTTGTGCGGCAGTGATATCATCGTTTAGCTTTTTTGCTGTTCATATTTACTATTTTTAAAGATGAGATTGGGAGATTCGGTAGTTGGAAACGGGGCCCTTTAAAAGGACAAAATAGAAATTTGTCCTGCAGGTACATATTTTTTTGTCACATTAACAAGTGAAAATAATTAGAAACAAAAACATTCAAAAGGGTTAAATGTTTTGTGGCCAGCGTACAAGACTGTGCTATTTCTATATAAATCCGATGATCAATTACTAGCAGATGTTACTGTTTAAAAGAAATTTGAATTGTTTTGTGGGGCACCTTTGTCTTAAATTGTCAACGTTTACTGTCAAACATTTTAATTAAGTATAGGTCTTATATTTTGGAGATTAGGTAACCAGTCGATTCGGATCACCCAACATATTAGAACTGATCGCGTAATACTGCGCTTTACCTCTACAAAATAATAAGTAAATTAAACATTACCATTCTGTTGTTTACTTTACATTTACTTTTATAAAAGTTGTAAAGTGACCAGTTATACACTACGAAATGCCAACTTCAATTCCGTTTCGAGACACAGCGTTAGGAAACCTTCCCTTGAAATCGCTGATGCGAACGTGACATTATCTTCAACCCAAAATCCACGTAGGTACGCAAAACCGTGAATCCACGGCGTCTTCTATCAATATTTCACTAGCACGAATTCCCTCCCTAAGGTTGCAGCCAGCGGCTTCCAATGCCGCTCTGCATTAAACGTATCGGCATGTGTACCTGAGGATGGATGTTTACCGCGGCGGCAGAGCAAAATACACAGAGAAAACGAAAAAGAGGGAGGGGAGGAAGAAATCGATTGCGCAGCTGGGGGAAGGCACGCGCGAATTGAACGTACGTGACGGCGGGCGAGAGCTCGAATATCGCAAACAAGGAGGGCGAAGGGCGGGCGGACAAAGAGTGGGAAGGGGATTACGAATCAAGAGTAACTAGAGATAGTGCCATTATGAAAAAAGCAAGAGGTAGAAGTGAATTCACAAATTCTGTTTATTGAAGAGTTTCACTAATGAATTGTTGTATCAATCGAAAAGCAATTAACAATATTCAGTCATTGGAAGGAACACTAAGCGCATATTATAACAACTCTGGTCATGAATAATGGGTTAAATATTGTGAGTATTTTAATAAATTGCTAAGTATGACATGTATACACAGATTTAATAATTAGCATTATAAGTTTTATTCTACATTCAAGTCATCCAACATATCTAACATCTATAAATCTATCCATAAATCTAATTCAAGATCAAGTCGATGTTCTGTTCGATACAATTTATTTGAAAAGAAAAAAAGCGTTACCAGAAAACCTCCTCTTAAATCCAATTTTTCTAGTACATCATATTTAGATAAAGATCTTCCACACTGAATATTCCACTACTCTCATGTCAGAAACTTGGCTGAATTAAATCACGCAAAAAATGCAGGAAAAGAGATAACATGAAATAAAAAAACCATTACTTCTTACTGCAATATCACTAGTACTTTCTCGAATATTTGGCAAAGTGAAAAATTGCAGGTACATATGCCAACTCATATTTCAGGACTTTCGTTTTAGCGGACTTTTTTTAATTGCAGGGAAAAGCGGGCTCAATATATTCTATTACTTCATTTCAACCAGACCTGTGTACTGGTACATTATTGAGATTTTGTTAATATTTGGTAGTAATCTCAGTGAAAGATTTCCTTTTTTATGAGATTACAAGATACATAAAAAACTGAACTTTAAAAAATAATCAGTTCTCAGAGTGGCCGTTTTATGAGTTTGCTGATAGTATGTTGAACAGAAGTGAGTTATTTATCTGGGCGGAAATGCGCGATTTCCTGTCGAATACCTATGATGCTTTGATAAAAACTTGATAAAAATTGTCTTTTCGTTTTTCAATCTATTTTCCAACTAAGATTTTTGCGATTCATCAGCCATCACCGAATTTCAACCTTTACCAGTACAAGAATTTTAGCCATTTCCAAAATATCTCAATTTTTTGTTTTATACATCATGTTTTCTTCACTGTATCCTTACACTTCAGAAAAGAAATCACAGAATTCCACTTTATTAATATTTTCATCTTCCTAAAGAAAATGAACCAATAATGAAATGAACATTTACTGTAATAATAACAATAACAGTGTAATTTAAGAGTGCTTTAAAACATATTATATTTTAATAAGTCACAAAAATATTAAATATATTTTCAAACGACATTATCAGAAATACTTCACGTAACGTTTATTATTGTTTAACAGAAAAGCACATAACATTGAACTAATAAAATAATATGAATGGGTGAAAACCAAAACGGTATAAGTGACATTTTATGAATTCTAAGAAAAACTGTATTTTAGGTTATATTTCAGTGGCAATGTATTTTCGTGGTTTTAATGAACAATTGATACGCCTCGGTGTTAATGATGAAACAAAGTACCATGACTTTACAGTGAGATTGACGTAAAGAGATTTCTCAGAATTTATTAAATGTCACGTATACCGTCCTGGTCACATTCATATATGATTTCAGTAGAATTAGTGGACAATGGAACAAATCACACGCCCCTTAAAGCTATTATTAATTTTAAGATTCTGCAGTCTCCTACTCCTGGCACCCATGAAGCAGTTTTCCGTACAATTTAAGTCTGTAATTCTGTACAAGTTACAAAAATAGTAATTTATATTATAATAAAGACTAACTGTGAAAAAAATATTAGCATACCCGTAAAACTCATTCGAGAATTGGGAAAGAAAGGAGCAACTTTCAGTCTATAGTCTTTACGTATAATTTTTTTTAATTTCCTCACAATTTATCTCTTGAAATCAAGAAAAATATATTCCCTGACATATTCGCCATTCTGCAAAAAATGACAATAGAGCTATTTTTACTAACCGAAGTGTTACCATAAACAGCATTATCAGCATTTCTAGTACATAATTTTTAATTCACTATCTGGATCAAATGTATAATATACCATTTGCTTAACTGTTGTGTATATGAACGATTGCAAATAAACATAATACTGGAAAAACTACATGGATCCTCAAATCGCTTGCAGGTAGGAATATCGTCAGATCAAACACACTTAAGGATTTGAGATTTATACTTGCAAATATGATTACGCCGGTAACTACATCGTCACTGGGTGGAAAGCTGAATACAGCAAATAAATCTATCAATCTCCGAATGCACAAGTATTTTCAGTCATAGTTGCGATTGATAGACACACCAAATACGAGTGATATAAATTATAAAATTCAGTGTTTGTCATTTGTAAACAAATTTGCCAGTAGTTAAGTATATGAGGAAACTAGAATTTATTTTCTACCCGGCCTATCGTGTTGCCCCCCCCGTCCCCATGAGAAGTATGTAAGACATTAGAGGCAGGGAAACTACACAATTTGCATCCCTACTGAAATTTATCACCGGAATGTAAATAATCTTTTGGAAAAGTGAATCCGTTTCAATTTGTTAATCACATTTTCGAATGACAGACCAAACATTTTCTAACTTTTATCACATATATTGCAAGATCATAACTTTAAAATCCGTTTGCGTCAGTCTATCGGTATGGAATCACATCGACACCCGTAATATTCTCCCAACGTCAGCCACCGGCGAACCCCCTCCCGGAGCAAATTAGTCCGGAAAATCGTCATCGGGGGAGAGGGCGCTCCCCCGCGGGCGGCGGCGGGGGGGGGGGGCAAAATCACATAAACGGGGAGGTCCTCGGCGCGCGACGTTTCATCCGTAACCACGTTACGATCGGCCGCGACCCTGACCGCCAGGCGCCGCACCGGGGGTAGCGATCCCCGGCTCTCCACAGCCGCGCAGGCACTTAGCATCCTCCTATTTTTGTTTTAATATATCATCCCAACATTACAATCAAATTCCTTGTAAATGAAACTCATCAATAACTATTTTTTTTACATCAATTAATCTAATATCACTGGGAGGCTTACCTCCTTTTCGAGGATTTCTACCCAAATGAATAATTATTCATAATTCATGCTACAATGGAATAAAGATATTGTATTAATTGTAAAATTGTAAATACGTTGTAATGAAATTAATTTGTAGTATTAATTGTAATCCTATTTACATTAATTACCCTGCGCCAGTTGCAGAGATTGCGACTGAGGACCACCCGGATTGTTAGGGAACTTCGAAACAGGCCCGACCATCATTTGCATCAATTAGTTCGTGCTACGTTCGTAAAACGCAACTAGAGTTGCAGACGGTCTCTTTCAAATTCACGAACATTCGCCGTCATTCCTTGTACGGATACAACTAGGTAAATAATAATTGAAATTCAAGACACCCCTGGATTGCGACAATCTATCTCTCCTCTCTTCCCTCACACGTTTTTCCAAAATGGTATGCAGAGATATTGAATTGCACTCTTGAACGAAGTAACAACACTCATTTTAATCAGTGGCGTTCTCTAATAAATACCTCTACACTTACAACTTTGCATTAATAGTTGGTTTTGAAAAACCTATTTAAAGAAATATTAGAACAAAAAAAATTGTATGTTGGATATTGGATAAACTACACTTAAATTATACCAAGATACTAATGAAACTTTTTTCACTTTAGTACCGTGTTTAGCGTTATTGGAACCTTTTTGAAATGTTTAATTTATTTCCGCTACATTAAATAAATCATTTGCCGTTCAGATGGCAGAGATAGTTAGGACAGTAGTGCCGTAGCGGTCTCAGACTAGAAGACCGCGGGTTCGAGTTCCGCCTACGGCAAAGATGTGTGTGTCTATATGTGTGGGCCGTCCGTCTTTTCATCCCTCCCCCTCCTCATCATCATCATCATTTAATCGTCCATACCCCCCAGTGCTAACAACCAGGATGAACGCGCGGTCCAGGCTGGCCCATACGCGAAGAAGAAGAAGAAGAAGAAGAAGGAAAAAAAATGAAACTCATTCTCGTCCATCTCCAATTAATCAATATACTTGCATTACCTTAACAATACTTAGTATGTATATGGGTCGAAGAACTGTCTAGTACAGACTCGAATCGTTCTGAAAATTTATTCTGTCAGAAAATAGTGGTTTGCGGAATGAAATTGGTTATTAAATCAGCATTTTAATAAAATATTCACAAAATTTATTGAAACATTCAAGTAATCTTTTCAAACCTGTGAAAGGTCACCATTTTTAAAACAGAAAGGAGTTCATTTGTTAATTTCTTATTGTGGGAAACTATTCGCCAAAAATGCAATCTTCAATGTTATTCTCTTTGGTTTGACTTTCAAAATAATTAAATTACTTGTATTCAACACTCTCCAGAAAGCAGCTGATAGTTGAACTGGGTTGCGACAAGAAACTTGTTCATTACAGGGCGATTCTGATAAAAGCGTGCTGTGTAATGAATTTTCCCTGACGACTGTCACCAACCTATCACCGTGTAACTGCTACCAACAAAGAACCAAGGAGCCTTGCGTTATATTAAAATTTCTTGATTTAGTATCGGTTAACCAGTAACACATCTCGTTTTTCAACACATATGAGTATGCGCTTTTACTTCTGGCATAAGACACGTCTTTATCTTGCTAAGAAACAAGCTACTGCAATCAAGCTATATAGTAAAGGTTCCATGCCAAAATATATTAGCTTTCAATACATTAAAGACATGAACTATTGATATTTTATGTGGAACTACTTACGTTAATTGCATTTGAACAATTTATTAAATTTCTCATTGACGGTACTTTCTACTCATTTCGGAAAAGAACGCAAGAAGTATATTTTCTATGATTCTTGCATCTCGCCACTTACAAAATTTTCTATATTCTTTCACGAATCTAACTTTTGAATTTAATGAAAACATGTCGACGTCGCGTCTCTTGCCTCTTCTAATATATTGGGCGGAGTCCCCATTATTTCCAAATTATCTTCCATTTCAAGATCCATTACATCGATCATGGAGCTATAAATATTCTTAACTCCATGACATCGATAGAACCTGACATTCTCGTAACCATCAAAGAAATAACAAGATTAGTGATCAACAGATACGAGTATGTATCCATACTAGCAGAACAAGTTATAGACTGATAACCACACTACATTTCATGTCAGTATTATCATTTAATTACAGGAAAACATGCACCAAAAAGGGCCTGAATAAAATATACACCACACGGCAAAAATCCCTTTTCATGACTACATCGGACTCTCCGCCTCGGACTATCGGCCTCGGCAGGTGAACTCTCTAGTCTCATCATAAAAAGGTCGACTTTCTCAACCTATGATGTGAAATAGTATTCACACGAGCTTTGATTCCTTTACTTCAATTTCTACAGAACTCATTAAACCTTTTTAGCATGCCTGTGTTTATGTAACATCTTCCTAATGTCGACAATCACGAATCTCACCCACGCGCAGTCTATCTTCAATTTCATGTACGTCGCCTATCGCCTTTGTTCAGATAAAAAAATGCTCCTAGACAAAATTCACTTTCCAATTTCATTTGTTTTCAAACCTTTGTAATAATTTAGTTATAGGGGTTTTCCCGTTTATTGACAGTCATTTATCTTGATCTCATATCTATATAGTATTAAAACATGTCACTATTGATCATCCACTACTCTTGTTTATAGTATTTGAGGAAATATAAGAAAAAATGTATATTCTAAAATGCAATTCGTCGTAAATTACGACTGTTTTTAATCACGAGTCTCAGAGCTGAAATGTTCAGAATTTATTGTTCTTTTCAGTCTCGAACACATGTGAGTTGAAATTTGCACCATAGTATTTACGTTCGATTTCCACTAACATAAACATGGATACTATATTCTTTGTTCGTAAATAAGTAATGTTTTGGTTTATTTCCAATTACAACTTTTAAAGTCATCAAAGTTATTGTCTCGATTATGTTTTGCAGAAAGTTCCTTTGGGACATTTGCTAAAAAACAGTATGAAGCAAAAAAGGCACTAAATACAATTAGTTATAATTTATCCTAATTGGTCCTAATTCGTTAATATTGAAGCAGAACAATGCTGTACAACTGAATAGAAGATAATACTATTATTTTATCGCATTCCAGAAATTATATGCATTTTCTTGCAATTACTTCTCTAAGTCAGGAATAATAATTTTAGGCAAAAACATGCAATGCATGATGAAATAAAGATATGATTTCCAAAGCTGAGCTATAACTTAATCCAAAATAAATGCTAGTTGTGGAACCGGAGCAATGGTGGGTTGAGAGACACTGGGAAACGCGAGAACAAAGAAGAAACCTGTCGCACGCCACAATTTTTTCCGTGGACGATCGGATTTCGAAAACGGATGCGCAATGGAAGAGAGCTAGCGAGGAGTCGCTAAGTTGCGAGTCGCCACACCAATAAGGATATCGTTGATGCGATGCTCACTACGAAGGAAAGCTCTACACGCAGGAGACCGCAATAAATGTACGCACATCGCGAGCCCCAATTTGACAGCCCCTGGGAGGAGAGCCAACAGTGACAGCGCCGAGAGAGAAACCTGAGCCGGGGGAAGAGGTGGAAGGGAAGGAGGATGATCAACCGCTGCCCATCTGTCGGCCCCTTCCCCCAGCGCCCCCGCCGCCACGACCACCGCAGCGGTTCTCACAGGTACCCAGCCCCCACTCGCCACTCGCAGCTGCCTGGGAGGAGACCCGGGATTCCGCAACTCACCACCCACACTCCCCGCGACCCCTTCGGCTAACCACGGGCATCCACTTGTTCTTGGCGAATGATTGCCTACGAGAGACTAGGGATGCGACAACGATGTTTATAAACCTCGATGCTCAAAATTAAAACATCAAGGTTATTAAAACATCGATCAAAACCATCGATGTTATTAATCATCGATGTTTTTAAAACTGGATGAGTAACCAACGCGCGCGGGGAATGATTTAATTTCAAAGTGGTCTCGTTTATTAATTTTTTAACTGAGATTTATCTGAAAAAAGTGAATTCAACAAATTGTGAATATAATTTACAAAACTTTGATTATCTGATTTTATAATTCAAAAATAACGCAGGCTTCTATATTGACGAAAAATCGATTTTATTGTCCATCCTTGATCACTTTGGTCTGAAGAATATTCATTTTATGGATATCTGAAAATTATTTAAGAATTTTGTAATGATCGTGCTTTTTTTCTTTTAAAAGCATCAACCACGTGAAAACGTCGAACACACATCGATGTTTAAAAAACATCGACTTCAAAATATCGATGTTTTTTATAAAATCATTGATATTTAACGTCTGTTTTGCCAACACCGACATGACTGATTACACGAAATCCTCAAGATCGATTGAATATCTATCACACGCGTGATCAAGAGATCGGAGAAATCCGATATATCGATTCCCATCCCTATAAGAGACTAAGAGTAAAGATGTGCCGACCCACGAACGTGAGCATTCATAATGCGATTCTACCCTACCAATGAAGAATTTCTATCTGTATTTAACCAGGAACATAAAACAATATTTTTTTAATCAAACCAGCAACTAACAAAAAACAGTAAACAAAGCCTTTAGACATTTAGTTATAATTTAATTCATAAATATTTTCTTAGTACATTTTAAATTTTTTGAACACAAATTACAACATTCCTGAAACGGATAAAACATTTTTTCACTAAGCAAAAAAGAAATATCGGAAAGAATGCAATATATTAATTAAAAAATTCTAATCTTCGATTAGCACGAAAATTATATTGACTGGCGTAGAATTTTAGGGAATCGCAGCATAAATTATATTAATAGAACAAAACGAATAATGCTACTTTACATAGTCAATATCTATACCATCAGAGTTATTGAGTTCCAGAAAAAGAGCTGAGATAAGTTAATCAATTAGATTGCGGAGTGCTTATGAACGCACCATCTGCGTCGCATTCAGTGAGACAATACATTGCACAACGGCATCCCGTGACCAGTGACGTTCTGTTCAAGCTCTCCTACCCCACTCATGACCAGAGTCAGATTTATACCAGTCGGGGTTTTAAGCAATTAACACGCAGGTGTCTTTCCAACATGGTACGAAAAGGTCGGGATTTTTGATCATTTATTTGCAATGATTCCTACACTTTTGAAGGAAAGTGTTTGTTTTTGACATGGTGTGTTTTTATTTGCTTCAGAAAACTGGAAAATGAATAATCAAAATGACTAAATTACGCCCATTGACCGCATCT